TAAATAAAAAAAGAGAATTTCAATGAATTATTTATCTGAATTTCTTCTTATTTTAATCGATAATAATATAATTATGAATATTGATTTTTATTTTCTAGAATAATCTACGTAATTTAAAATGTTTTTCTTTACAATGTTATAATTCATCTAATGAATATGATATTCAAATATTACCTCTTTTTCATTATATGTCAAATCTTGAAGAATTAACTTTATATCCTACTATTTACAGTAGAACTACATTTATTGATGGTAATCATATTTATAATGAAATTCTTATTCATATGCCACAACTTCATACATTTAATTTTTGTTTTTCTACTGAGATTCGAATCGATCCATTAGTTAATCTTTTATCAAAAGATGATATTCAACAAACATTTATTAACATAAAATGTCAACAACAAATGGAATGTATTGTAAACTATCTAAATCTTACTGGTACATGTAATATATTTTCATTACCATTTATGTTTGATTATCTTGGACCTATTGGTAATACATTTCCAAGTATTATTTTCAATCATGTTCGAAAATTGTTTATATACGATAAAATTCCATTTAATCATGAATTTTTCATTCGAATTGCTTGGTCTTTTCCTTTACTTAAAGAATTATATGTTATTAATGATAAACCACAATCATCAATATTAGATATATTAAATTCTTATGATAATCAATTATCTTCAACAATTATTGAATATCCTTATCTTATTTCGCTTGATATCTCAGATTGTCATATTGATTATATTGAAGAATTTCTTAATGACACAAAAATACGTCTACCTCATCTAATGAAATTAACAGTTAATTATGATAAATTAAGAATTGTTACAGAAAACTTCACAAGAGATATAACAAGACTCAATTGTACTAAAGTAAAAAAATTAAATATCCATGAAACAATAGTACATTCAAAAGATTTCTATGTTTATTTTCCTTTATTGTAACTTTATTTTTTTTGTGAATAATTTAATAAAATGAATAATAAAAATATAAATAATAATATTTTTTATAATCTAATCATATTGACAAAGAGTTTTGAATTACAAATGCTTATTACATTGTACTACAAAAGCTTTGTCGTTGGATTCTTCTAAAATCCATGTTTTTGAGTGAAATTATCCTTTTTTAATAGGTAAGTCTATTTAAGATTATATGAAAAAATTTAGAGTTAAAAGTCACGCATCACATTATATTTCTGCATTTCTTTCAGATCAGTAAATCAGCATTTTCTCGATGAATTTTTAATTGTCACATGAATATTTTCTAAATAAGATTCGACATGACTAATAAAGTGGCTTAATCAACTAGAGAAGTTTTGTCAATTTAGTATGAGCATGAGAAGATTTAGTATCTTAAAGGGTGAGTCATAAGTCTTGGTACTTGATAGAAAAATTTATTTTTCTCCCTTATTACAAGTCCAAAAATGCTGAAACTTGGGCACACCCTAGTCTCAATCCTGTTCATTCCTTGAGAAATCCTGGAAGGATCTTTCAGGATCCTAAATCTCAAGGATCTTGGCAGGTTTCATTGAGGATCCTGTCTCAAATCCTAAACATTTTTGTTTTTAGGAATTCTTAAGGTTAAACAGGATCCTACCAGGATTTATTCTGGATCCTGTAAAGGATCTAGACAGGATTAGCAAAAAACTATTCTGATACGATTTTGATAAGTTTCGACCAGGATTCAAGCGAAATCTCTATGTCAGAATCCTGTCAGGATTAAGAAACACATCGAACGAGGATCCTATCAAGAAATTGGCAAGATTAGTTAGAATCCGAAACTGACTAATTCTGCCCAGTTTTTATCAGGATTCTGCTCAAAACTGTTCAAGAATGAACATTGTCGTAACTTGAAAGACAATGGCAATTTTAATCAAGATCTTGATAAGAAATCATAAGAACTCATTCAGGATCTTTGCAGGATACTGCTTATGCTACTTAATATCGTTCATTTCTCAAGAATACTTCAACTGTCACAGACGTAATCATTCCTTCCAGGATCCTTTTCAGGATTTCGTCAAGTTGCTGCTCAGATTTTCTTTTGAACTGAGAATTCAGACCCTATCGGAATTTACTCTCGATTCTTTTCAGAATTCTGAGAACAATTATACAAATATTTAGATCAAGATTTACTCAGCTTTTTAGCAAGAATTATTCAGGAACTTGTTCTAATTCCTATATATTCTTGTTATGTTGATCTGTCATGAATTTTTCGTGAATTCTGTAAGGATCTGTTCAAGATAAGTTCTTTGTATGATTACAATAAGTACAAGTATGATCAAGATCCTGATGTGAAAATTCAAGGATCCTCTCAAGATCTTTGCAGGTTTGGACTGAAAGTAGATTTAAATTTTAATATTGAGAATCTTGCCAAGATTGATAACTGATCCTGTTCAGGATCCTAACAAGAATACATAAATAGTTTCATTAATATTTTATCTGCTTCTTGCTCAGGATCCATCCAAAATCTGTACATCTGAAAATCATAACAGGGTTTCACTACCAAGATCGATTAAAGTCTCACCACTTATTGATAAAACGATTGTCCCAGGATTTTATTACATTTTTGTTCCGAACACAATGGAATTCAGAGAATCGTTAAAAATATACGATAATTTTGTTTTTGATCATAATTTAAATGTATGTATAAACAAGTAGAAAATCCTGGAAAATTGTTAAAAAACTTTTTCTCCGACAACTTTTTAAAATTTATATTTTATATAAAAATAGATTTGACATTCATGTTATGTCATTAATGATTTGCTCTATTTTATGTTGAATAATATTGGAAAAATTAGGAAATTTACATCTATTGATACATTGTATTATTTTTTGTAAAACGAAATTTTCTAATAAAAACTTTTACGAACTACATTTAGTCGTAGAAAAAAATTAGAAAAATATTTTTTTAAATTAAAAATAAATTAAATATGATAAAATAGAATTTTTTCGATTGATATGAATGTTTTAAATGAAAATATTTTGTTTTAAAAATTTTTCTAAAAATAATTATACTGGTAAATAATTTGAGCACAAGATATCAGATATAAATTAACATATTAAAAGTTAAATCGATATCTATTGACATGGCACATCCAGCCGGGTAAGATGATCGGTATGTAAACTGAAGGTCTAGAGATCAATACTCTATGTGTTCACTTCTTTTCTGTTCTGTTTAGATAATCCTGCAAGGATCCTGTCAAGAAAACTGATCATATCCTGTAGTAAACCCTGGTAAATTCTGACAAGATCTGGTCAACAAGTATAGAAATATCATAGAAAACCTACGAAGATCCTGAAAGATATTACCAGAATTTTTTCATTCGAACTCATTTAAATCCTAACAAGATCCTTCTAAGATCTTGCTTGAATCCTGTGCAAATCTTGAAGATTTCGTGGCTACACGTTTCTTTCAGGATTAAATGTGTCCTGACAAAAATCTTAACTTTACATCTAGTGGTAAACTGTTCAGAATCTTGATTAAATCCTGTTCGAAATCCTGACAGGATCTTAAAATTCTATAGCTACACGCTTCTTTCTGGATTTATCGATTTCCTGAATGGTTCTTAGGTAAAAGTAGTGGGAAACCTGGAAGTATCCTGGTTGAATCCTGTTTCAATCCTGTCAGGATCTCGAAATTCCGTGGCTACACGCTTTATTCAGGATTTTGTCGTTTCCTCAGGAAAAAACAGTGAATCCTTGCAGGATCCTTGACTGATCTGTGAAGGATCTGAGAATGAAACGTCAAAGATTTTCCTTAGGGCGGCCTGCGAAAAAAATCTTCCCTATAGTTCGACGGGATATATTTTCCTTGTAACTAGGACTAGAGTTATGAAAATTTCGGATAATATTCATCGTGTTGCCATAGATTATATGACCAAGTTTTAGCATTTTTGGATTTGTAATAAGGGAGAAAAATAAATTTTTCTATCAAGTACCAAGACTTATGACTCACCCTTTACCTTTAAGAGATATGAATAATGGAGAATATTTCAATCAAACTAATACATAAATAAAACTATCATATGAGAAACTTAAAACTGAAAATGATTAAACTAAATCATTGTAATTAATCAATGATAACAACGAAATCATCTCACGATTTTCATATACATCAAAACATCATCATAATCACCATCAGCATTCATCTTCTTCATATCATCACTATCATCATCATCATCATTGTTCATTATCAAAAAAAACAATATCTAAATAATAATGAATTTCAAGTTATCGAGTCTCCATTTAAAAAAATTTAAACGAACACCATATTTTCAAGAAACATGAAATTATTTTTATTCATCTCCACTAACAATTTATAATCAAAATTCTTATTGACCACCTACTACACATAATAATAATTATTATAGATCAAATCTAAGTGAATATTATAGCATACAAATATTTAGTCAATATTAGAAATATCAAATAAAATAACTTAAAATATATAGAGCTGAACAAGAATTTTATGATCATTATTTGAATAATAATAATAACTGAAAAAAATTAAATACAAAATTTTTGAAGATTCTTTTTTCTTGCAAAGAATTTACTATTTGACTTGACTTTTAGCTTATTTATAATCTCCAAAAGAATCCTTAAGGTTTCTTTGCTAAAAAAAGATATTTTCAAATCATAGTCAATATATATGCGTCATTTTAATAAACATAATGTTAAAATAAATTTGATAATCCTAAATTTGACTTTCATCATCATAAAATAAATTTGAACCAAATTTCTTTCAGAACGATAATGATAGAAATCTTCAATATATCTTTCTATAATAAAAACACAATTTGGAGAATTTTCTTTCACGATAAACAGTGCTATCTATCGTTCCTTTTTTCAATTAATTCTTATCAAATTACTAATAATAACAAAGAAAAAAAAAACAAAGCAATCAATCAATCAATCAAACACACATTTATACAACATACAAACACATAATTAGAATATTTTTTGTTTTTAGATTTATTTTGAAAAACAATTTATGTGATGTTCATCGACGACTTACCAGCATTACAAGATTGGCTTGTTACAACACTGGAACTATTGTAAATGAATTCTTTTTTTTGAATAAAAATTTTATTTTATTATTTTTATTAGATGTGACAGTGAACCAATAGGTCTTGCTAATGATATTATTCGACTTGTTACTGAAGATAAAACATTAAATATAATTCGTGAAAATTGTGTTCGTCGTCTTGAAAATATTTTCAATGAATGTATGAAAATCTTTTTTTTTTCCAAAAAAAATTTATTAATTTTTTTTTATAGCAACTGTCAATTTTGTTGATCAATTATTTGATAATATTCAAAATGGACAATATATATCTGAAACAGAAAAAGTAAGAGAAAGAAAAAAAATTAAGAACAATTTATTTATTAAATGAATTAATTAGGAAAATATTCCACCAAAACCAATGAAAAATACAACTAAAATATTTGAACAACAAGAAAATAATCATGAAACTCAATTGATATCAAAATCAACAACATCTCCATTTACAACTATAAATAGATCAATAAAAAGGTAAGATTGTTTACATAAAAAAATTTTGTTTTTAATTCCTTTTCTTTAGAAGATACTCTTCTATATCTGAAAATAATTCATCATCAACTAAACGTACTCAATATTCTTATTCTCATTTATCAACAGATTCTGTATCATTATCAAGTACACATATTATTAGGTATTGCTTTTTAATATCTTATCTGAATTCTCTTAGATTTCATTCTATACTAAGACAAAAAGATGAATGTTGATGACAATTGATCTATACAACTTAGATATCAAGATTAATTTGTTTTTTTTCAATATTTTTTTATTTCTCGTTTTATTTAGAAAGTGCACGACTTGCTTTGAAGATCTATCAAACGAAATTCTATATGATATATTCGAGTATATTGATTTATATGATGTTTATCAAATTTTTTTCAATGTTAATCAAAGATTTCAAGGTTTATTAATTGATTCATCTGTTCTAATTCAAATTATTATAACAAATTTATCAATAGCAAATGTTGAACTTTATTATAAAAATTTTCTTCTTTCTAATAAACATCGAATCAATCTTATTCATTTATCAAATCCATTTATAGTTCATACATTTTTTTAACCATCATATGATATTTCAAAATTTAGTAAAATTGAAATATTACGTGTTTATGATATTAAATCAACATATATTAAAAATATTCTTGATTGTTTAATGGATTTACCAGAATTATATTCATTAACTATAAATGTTATTGATAATATAGATGATGTAAATATATTCTATATTAAAATATTTGGATTATCAAAATTAACATTTTGTCAAGTTGAATATAAAACAATTCCAACCAAAACAAATAGAAATTACTTGGTTATAGATGAAACAATTTTTAGTCCATTACAACAATTAATTATTAATGCTGATTTTCCAACAAATTCATTAGATATTTTATTTTCGTACTTGCCTCAAATTCGTCGTTTATCAATTGATAGACTTACACCATCAACAACAAAACAAATAAAACCAATTATTATGCCTTATTTAAAACATGTTACATTGAAATTGAACAACATCAAGTTCAATGAATTTGAACAAATAATGAAGAATTTTTTTGAAAATATGCAAATCTTATCAATCAATACAAATAATGATCAAGATTATATTCAAGCAACTAAATGGGAACAATTAATCATAAATCATATACCAGATTTAAATATATTTAGTTTATATTATGATGGAATTGATAATACTACATCTATTCATAATCATTTTCAATTAAATGAATTAATTGAAAATTTTAATTCATCGTTTTGGATTGAAAGAAAATGGTTTTTCAATTACCAATATGTTGATGAAGAATCATCAGATGGTGGTATTGTTTATACAATTGATCCATATAGGTAAAATTATTTCTATGATTTTTCTTTTATTTATAATTCAACAACAAATCATCGAATAAGTACACTATTATTTATATCTTTTTTCTTTTTATAGAAAACATTATCACACATATCAACCAGCAAATCAACTTGAACTTGATATGAATTTAAATGCTGTTAAACATGTTCACATATGGAAAAAACAAATGTCAATCAATCATTTAAATAATTTTCGAAATGCTAATACATTAACATTAGGTCATGATATAAATTATATATCTTTCGAAATACTTAATCACGTCGTATGTTTTAAAAAACTGAATCATTTATATATCAAAAGCATATATTTTTGTTTTGAAAATATACTTGAATTATTACATTATGCACCAAATATTTCTTCAATCAATATACAAGCTATATTTGTATGTAATCGTACATATAATACTATACAAAATACAGAATATTATAATGATTTATTAAACAATAATCATGTTAAATCTTTTACAACACGAGATAATTGCGATTTTTATACCATAAATATGATTTTAAGTTTATTTAATAAAATTAATTATTTAAAACTCAACATCAATGTTCAACAAATTCAACAAATTGCTGATCGTTTAATTGACTGTATAAATTCAAAAAAAAAAGAAAAATTATTAATATGTATATGTAACATATCTTCAAACGATATCAATAAATTCAAATCTATATTTCAAATAATTCCTGATTGTTTTCTTGATATTATTAGTTCTTGCGTTTATTTATACTTATAAAGCGTTTATGTATATTTTTATTTTATTCATAATAAAATAATTTATGAAACACTATATATATTTATATTAGTTTTAATAGTTCCATCAATATGTATATAAAAAAAAAAGAAGTAAGACATACAGAATATAGAATACACGCATAATCATCCATGTATTTTGATCAAAGAACATATAAAAAATAATGAAAAAAAGAAAAAGAGCAATTTATATGCGTGTGCAGAAAAGAAAAAAACCAGTAGTGTTTGATCAAATGTACAAAAAACAGAATGATGATATGAACAAAAGATAGCAATGGAAAACAAAAAGAAAAAAATGTGTATATAAATCTAGTTTTTGTTTGAAATATTTTGTTTCATATGGAAAGATTAACAATTGTCTATATTATAAGGACAAAAGTAAATAAATAAAAGGATAAACATGCATACAGCAAAACCTCCCTATGTGGACACTAGCTGATCCCTCGAGCTATTTTTGCTGAAAATGAACCTCTATAATGTGGACACCTCTCTATTCTGGACAGTGGATACTTTTTTTGGTCCCGTTCATAGTAGCTAACCTCTTTAATGTGGACAATCCCTTCAATTCATGGTATTTTTTTTTTCCACAATATCTTAAAATTCAAAGAAGTCTCGAGTTATACAAATATTCTACAAAAGTTTGCACGCTACGAAATCTATTTTTTATCTCAAAAGTGAAGATTTTTTGGTTTTTTTCTTTGTCCATTTATGGTCTGATAAATGTAGAGTTTAAATAAAAAACCAACTAATACGTGTTGGCGCTAGGGAACTATTTACTTTTGCCATGCAAATAAATTTGATATTCTTTTGAAAATTAGTTTTCCCTTGTCATACTTTCTATGCCAATGGAAAGGAGACAGGACTTTGAACATAAATTTATAATTCGGAAGAATTTACATAAATGTTTTGAAAAATGCGCGAGAAAGTTACTTTTTTAAAAATTTTTGCTTCTTAAACTGTTGCCTTATGAAGCTAACCAGTACAAATGACTAGAGATGTTACAAGGACACATAGAAAAAAAAGAGAAAGAGAAAGAAAATAAAAATAGTAAAAAAAAGAAAAAAGAGTAGAAGAAAGCGAGAAGGTTACTTTTCAGGGAAACGAATATGATTATTCCTTCTTGGAGCATCCGGCACTAGTACGCAGTGTATCTTCAGAATGAAATGGCCAAATGAAGATAGACTAGAATAAATGTGGAAACCTCGGATTTAAATCCGAGTATTATGTGTACTTCAAAAAGTAAAAAATAATTGACGACAGATTGATTTTGATCAAACTGTCTAAGAAATCATCCTTGAGAGCAGTAAGGAATAGGGATTGACTAGCTCGCGTTCACGAACTCCGTCCAAATGAACTAAAGCATTGCTTGAACAGTTCTTTTCAATGAACTGAACTTTTTCAAACAGTTCTTTTGCAAGAGCTGAGCTTAAAGTTAGACTAGATATTTTCATATGGGTGTATCCATAGGTCCTCAAGTCCTATTATATAGGGATACCTATAGGATAGTCCTTAAGGACCTATCGGTACCCTTATGTAATAGGACTTGATGAGCAATGAGTACTCTCATAGGATAGGCTTTGAGGACCTATGAGTATCCCCACGATATAGGACTTGAGGACCTAAAGGTACACCTCCTTCTCCCAATAACCGGGATAGGTTAATGTTCAGATAGAACAAGTTTTCATTTATGCAAATAAATAAAGCCTCCGGAACTAACTCCTCGCTATGTCCTACGGGACAAAAAGGATTACATGTCTTCGGAGAATATCCCCGGAAACTCGATTATGTCCTAGGGTAAGAGGTATATAGATTTATAGGTATAGGAGGTATAGAGGTATAGGAGGTATAGGCGATATAGGAGGTATAGGAGATATAGGAGGTATAGGAGGTATAGGAGGTATAGAGGTATAGGAGATATAGGAGGTATAGAGGTATAGGAGGTATAGGAGATATAGGAGGTATAGGAGATATAGGAGGTA